CTAATTGATCAAAAAAGTTTCTATCAGAAACTTGCCAAATGAGGAAGGAAAAATGAATTTCTTTCTTTTAAAAACCTACTTATGTATTTAGAAGGAAAGATATAATTAATAGTGTTATAAGCAGTTTTCAAATGACTTTAAATTTACATTCTTAGCAAAAAAGGAAAAGGAAATGAGGAATATGCTTCCTTTCCCATCTCTGCCCCCATTTCCTGTTTATAAAAGAGATCTGATAAAAAAGGAATGCCGACATGACATGGACTTTTAGGGCAAATCTAGACATCTGAAAATACAATCTGAGGTCTTTGATTTATATCATCCATTTTGGATTTATGTATCTCTATGCTCTGGGAAGAGATGGGATAGAGGAGATTAACTGCTGAAACTATATCTGATTCTCATAGAAATAATCTTCAAACTAGCATTAAAAAAATTTTTTTTTGGTTTGTTTTTACACAGGTTGAAATGACAACTTTTGGTTAAAAGAAGATTGAAAACAGCACTTAAATGCTGTGCATAAAAGGTCAATGTTTCAAAAGCCTTTTAAATACTGATAGGTCTGTTTGAACTTTACTGTTTGTATGGGCTATATTTAAGTTCAATATCCCTTCTGATGTGTTGGTTATTTTAAATATTCAAATTAATTCTGAAATGTAAATAACATAAAAATGGAATCAGCTTTTTATAAATGAAATTATCAGGTTGCTATGTTGTGAAATTTAGAAACTTCATGGGTTTAGAAAAGAGAAGGAAATTAGTGGAGGCATTTTTATTAACACCTGTGTAAGTCCAGTGCATTACACAAAATAACTCAGCAATACAGAAAAGTGTGCCAAAAGCATACTTTTTGGGGGGTTGCCAGGGCTTCCGTGGTAGCTCTGCTGGTTAAGAATCCACCTGCAATGCAAGAGATACCGATTCCATTCCTGGGTCGGGAAGATCTGCTGGAGAAGGGATAGGCTACCCACTCCAGTATTCTTGGGTTTTCCTGGTGACTCAGCTGGTAAAGAATCTGCCTGCAATGAGGGAAACCTGGTTTGATCCCTGGGTTGGGAAGATCCCCTGGAGAAGGGAACGGCTTATCCACTCCAGTATTCTGGCCTGGAGAATTCCATGGACTATTCCATGGGGTTGCAAATAGTTGGACATGATTGTAATCTTGCTCATTACTTTAGAAAAAAGAGGATGGAAATTATTGAAGGCAATTTTATGAGACAACTGTGTAAGTCCAGTGCATTACACAAAATAACTCAGCAATACAGAAAAGTGTGCCAAAAGCATATTTTTTTGGGGGTTGCCAAAGCCAAAAGTTATGCATTATCAGCTTTGATTTTCATATAAAAACTGAAAGTGAGAGTGTTGATTGTACTATGGCTTCTGAAAACTGGGAATTCACCTTCCACGAGGACAGCAGTAGTAGCAGAAAGCATGCATGACACCAAGTCAACTCAGTCACGTCCGACCCTTTGTGTCCAACTCTGCCCATCCTGTGTGACCCCATGGACTGTAGCCCACCAGGCTCCCCTGTCCGTGGGATTTTCCAGGCAAGAGTCCTGGACTGGGTTGCCATGCCCTCCTCCAGGAGATTTTCTTGACACAAGGGCTGAACTCACATGTCTTATGCCTCCTACACTGGCAGGCGAGTTCTTTACTGCTGAGCCACCTGTGAAGGATAGCGGCTTTCAAATATCTTAGACGAGGGTAGCCTGGGATGAGATCTTGACAAATTTTCTTTTGGCTATTATTTTTAAAATATGTTCTTGTCCAGCACATAGATAATCCTCACCCACATCATTATTTTAACCATATTCTTCAACTATATGAGCATAATGAGAATGGAAAATCTTTTAAGATATCTTCCTTGGAATATTTTACAAATTTTAGTGTTGAGTATAAGAAGGTAGAGAACTATTTTTCTCAGTAGACACATGGGCCATATCAGCTTTATCTTAAATATTTATATAATTGTCTATTTTTAGGTGAAACGTGGTTGTATATTTTGTTATCTAAGGAAAACTGTTCCTTCTACTTGGAAGAAATGAGATTTTCATATATGAGGATGGTTCACTGCAAATCTAGGATCATATTTTTAGGAAAGATCTCCTTGGAGAATTTATTTATTGCTTTACCTTGTGACTTTAAGAGATCTAATAACAAATTCCATAAATTAAATGTGGTTTATTTCAACATGGAAAATGCCATGGACAGAGGAGCCTTGTGGGCTACAGTATGTGGGGTCACAAAGACTTGGACACCACTGAGCATGCACACACATGCATATTTCAACTTGGGAATGTAGGGGAAATGTCTGAAAATCTCTGGGCCAGGTCTTTATAGGCAAATAAGTAATTTCCAGTACAGAGGGCTATATAATCATTCTAGTAAATTAATTCCCTTCTCTACTCTTGGATTTGGCTAGGTAGATCTGTCTTTGCAATCAACAAATTAAGAGTGCTGGGCTCTGCATAACTGTCAAAATAGACTCAGTAACATTGAAATTAGTCAATTTCTCTTGGTCTGTTTGGTTACTAATGTGAATTTCCCTGCCATTTGCAAATCATGAGTATAATAACTATAGAGAAATACTTGATCCACTCATATTTCTTGGAGGCATGAAATGTTGATGTTTTTCTACATATGATGTTTTTCTGTATTTAGATACTTGATGTTTGGAGATGTATGTGAGGGTCTTTATCCTCGATCCATACCTACATATATCAATAGAATAGAAGGCTAGGTGGATGGGCACTAAAACATGAAGAATGTGATCCAGAGAGGAACAAAATGAACAACTGTTGTGTGTAGCTTCAGGGTCTAATCCTGTCCTAAACATTTATAGAGATACTACATTAAGATCTGATGACTGTTTTCTAGGTGAAACATCATTATATTAGTATCTGATTTTCTTTCTTTTTTTTTTCAGTATCTGATTTTCTAATGACAAATTCACTTTCAGAAAAACATGCCCAGAGAATTTTTAGCATGAGCCTTTTCCACATTGCTGAAAGGTAATAGTGAACACTACTAAGGGAAATGAATATAATGGGAGTAGCCAGGGAAGAGCTACAAAGGTTGGGAATTAGGAAAAGAAAGGTTAAGGCTGCATATTCCCAAGGGGACACCTCTCTGGATCTTTGGAAAAGGTTAGGGATGCATGATTCTAAAGAATGTGAGCAGGTCAAGCATCTATAAAACACTGCATTGATTACCAGGCAATTCTGGGCAAGCAGTTCTTCCTGTAAAGACTTAGGTCATAATTCTAACTACAAAGTTATGTTGCTTTTTTAAAGTTATAATGTTCTGTTCTACAAGTCAACCAATTAAAATAATTTATACTATGATCACTGATTTAAAAGTTCCATAGGAGATTCAATCATCTGACCTTTGACAAAACTGAAATTGGAAGAGCCTCTGAATGCATGTTTTCAGATACCCTGACAGGTAGAAAAAACTCACATACAGCTTCATACTCACCCATTTCTTGTTGGCTGGAAAGCTGAAGCACTCTCTCCTTTGGGAGTCCCACCATTTAGTGGTTGCTCCTTCTATAAGTAAGACATTCTCTCTTTGGGGAGATGATTAACTGTGGCCTGATTAAGCTCTAAAAAATATCTCTTACAATTGTTTCCCCTTACTATGCTGTCTTTGCAGGTGCAATACCAGCAGGACCAACTGACACTGACACACATTGATGGAAGACAATGAATATGATTAGAAGTGATAGGAACATAATGGTTGAAAAGAAGAACTGAAATGCAATCTACTACTAAAACTGTAAGTAGAACTGAAAGAAAGCTAATGAATCCACTCATAACAGCACCTTTCTTTCTTTGTAAGATAAATATGATTCTGTAGGTCTTGTCTATGTAGTACCCTTGTTTATCAGTTGAAATGCTCAATTTTACTACTCTTGGCCAAGTGAAATGATGACTACAACAAAAACCAAGTGTCATTTGGAGATTACGGTAAGATCCAAAGTGTTGTACATGGTTGATTATGAAATGACCAAATATTCTTGAAGTTGTGAAATTATACCCAAGACTTGCTCTGGATATAACTGCCCACTATCAGAGAAAACCATAATCACGAGAGATTTCATTTCTTGAGTCGGGAAACACTGAAGGAAATTTTAAAGGAGCTGATTTACATTATTGAGAAAGTGAAGTTTTCTCACCATTAGAGAATGCAGGACTTCATCATCTATTAGAGGATATTTGTTATTTTTCTGATTGCTTCCACAACATTCTCAGATGTATGCAGAACAAAGTGGTGAATCTCACTTTGACAGGTTAGGAGCAGGGCTGTGGCATCAACAATGAATCAAGCCCCTGTGGATAAAACTATGTGTATGGTGATCTTTTTATTAACAGTGAGACCACTGGAGGGAAGGTATATATTAGGAAATCTAATAGGATAACAGTCACCTATCAGAATAGCTTCAGAATTGAGACAGACAGTACGCTTTTCAAGAAAGAATTATAAGGAAAAACTTAGTGTGCTTATGCCATGAACGGTAAAAGCAAAGTTCTATGAACTCTCCACTGGTAGAAGGCTTGAACCTGAACCTTTGAAAGAACAGAATTAGCTTATAAGAGGTTAGAATCATTGGGCCACAGCATTTTGCTGAATAGTTGCTCAACAGTCAAGGCTAGTCTGGTCATTGAATTCTCTCTTTTACTGTTAGAGTAGTAAATGTTGGCTGCTTATTTTGTGTTAAACCAAAGATTGGGTCCCAGGATACATACTAATTGTTGATCCAAGAAAATTACCTTCACATGGGAAAGTGTTTCATGCATGACCATATATGAATATAACAAGGAATTCTAAAGAAAAGTTTAAAGACAATTAGATGAATAAGGTATCATTTATCTCAGCAGTCAGACACTGTGTTCCCTTGGGGCATTAAAAGCAGACAATGCATGACCAAGGGTTGACATTTGTCAGGTGATTACTGGGCATCTATTTTCTTTCTTTTGGATGAGATACCAATGGCACAGTAATACCTTTTGGGTCTTTATTTCTTCAAAACATGAAAACAAAAGATGAAACAGATGACAATGAGGAGAGAGAAAACATTCCATACAGAATATGCTGGATCACTAGTGATTAAATCAGAAACCATTAGAAACTTTATTTGTCTGTGTCAATAATGTGTACCATCTATTAGGAACAGCACAATTAGTGCACCTCCCCCCCTAAGCTGTGCACAATACACACGAAATAAAATAATCAAACAAAATGAAATAATTTTACATGACTATAATTACTAAAACAACCCTGAACAACCAGAATCATATTTCCCCTATAACATGAAAATTTAAAAAGCAAACAAACCAAAAAGCTTTGAAATTGAAATTGACCAACAGTCAAGATTTCTTACCATCCTCTGTGAAAATTTGCTATGGGATTATTAACATTCCAAATATAGCTAGAAAGGAGTGCAAAGTCTTTCTAATGTTTAAACAACTCATATCCCTTGACTATTTACTTGGTGTTTCTAGGCTAGTTTTTCATTAAATAAATCTTCAGAAAAAAATGGGTTAGGACAATGCCACCAGTGCGCTGGGCCATGACAGGTCAGGGCTGAGGCTCCAGGAGATATGAGAAATTATAGCTGCAGGGGGCGTGGAAAAGTACTGCTGTCCAACAAAGATCAGCTGAAGATAAAAACTGGGGTTAACTGGGATTTCTCAGCCAGTTGGGTCATCAGCAGGATTGCCTTACTTGGTTTACAATGGAAAGATGTACAGATCTGCAAGATTGGCTCAGGATACATAGACTGCTGTTCCTACCCCGCGCCTTACACTCTCTCAGTTCAAGAAAATCTCAGACATCTAGACAAGAGAATTTCAGCGACTGTGTTTTTCTTGTAAGATCAAATTGTTTCCATGTGGCTGTTAACTATTACTCAGGGATTAACTGTGAACCCCCTCAGGATAGGGATCCGGGCTGTCTGGTCCATGTTTAGTCCCCAAGTGCTAGCATAGTACTGGGCAGATTGAATGGGTACTCAGCATTTACTTATTCATTCACCCAGTGTTTATTAAATGATGAATGATTGTGATTACTAAGTGGACGAAGAGAAAATAAGAAATGAAAATTATTATCAGTTAAGTATCTCTGAATCAACACAGAGGGCTTAGGGCTGTCTCTGGCCTGGGATTCTTTATGGATAGAGAAATGTCTGAGAGGGGACCTAAGTCATTCCATTTTTTTCTCATTTGTGGACTCACAGCTTTGGAACGTTGGGTTTATCATACTCTTTGATATTGTGAAATAGAGCCATTCCATTTCCAGGGTTAAAAACCTCCCGGAGAGGCACTAATCATCTCATTTAATCACGTCCTCCTTAGCCCTACGTAGAGAAGACACACTTTGACAGGCCTGTTGATCACCGTGGCTTCTTTTCTCCTTAGGAACTGCAGATACTATCAGAGGGGTCTGGACGGTGAAAAAAATGGGGCTCTGAATAGCCTTTTACATAAAAAAATAAAATGAACAAACCAGCACTATCTACCATCTGTGCCAGACAGAGCAGATGTGAAATAAATACTTTGGGGGCAGGGGTGTTCCAGGAACGGAGGCTTTCAGAGCCCAGGCACATCTAACGTATCCCCTTCTCCACACAGCCCTTCTCCTTGGCCTTCCTGAACCAACAGGTGAGTTTTCAAGGCTTTGATGTGCACCACGTGGCTAATTTTCCTTGAAGATACTTTGTCGCGTGCCCGCTGTCCTCTCAATAGCTTTAACTCCCACATAACAGTTATTGTTTCTTAGAAATGAACGTGCAGATCCATGAACAATAAGCCATTTTCTCCTTTTATCCCTAACCAAACTCAATAACAACACAAAAGTTACAACTCAGGTGAAAAGAAAACTCACTTATGTCTTCAATGTCCAATCAATGTCGCCAGATGGGAGAACAGTATATGCTATACTCTACTATATACAGATACACTTTGTTTTGTTGTATTTGTTTTTCATCCATGCACTGTGTAACAGGTATCACAACAACATTCCCAAACAGGCACATGAAAGAGGAGCAAATGTTCCGTCATGACTGGAACAGGAGTGTGCAGGTCATTGATGCCCTGGAAAACAGAACTGATGGACAATCCCAGGCAATAGCAACATGGGACACAGACTGATGCAAATGGAAAAGGATGATGTGCGTTTTGAATGGAGTTATTCTTCCTGTTTATATGAGGGGTAAAGGGGAGGAGAAGGGGTTTGGGATGGGAGGGCTGGGGAATCAGTGGGTGTGGAACATCAGAGTCAGGGCCTTGCTAATTGTAGTCCAGCGCTAAAGAGATAAGAAAGGACTTTGTATGTTCCTGGGAATCTAGGCATGTTGTTTTTGTACCTGTTGAACAAGGGTGCCAAGCCTAGCATCTTTAAATATCAGACTGTATCTAGAACCACAACTCTTCTTGGCTCCATTCCAGCTCCCAAGTTTCTTCTTGGAGGGGGTTTCACCTCTGCTCCCGCTCCAGAGATAAGCATGAAATTTAGTAATCTAGTGCAGACATGCTTCTTTCTTCTTCAGTGCCCGTTTCCTTTCTTACTCCAAAATAATTTTTAAAGTTTTTGGGCAAAGGGAGAGTCATCTTCCTGATTTCCACTTTTACCATTGAGATTGGACATCACCTCCCACAAGAGAAGCACAAACCCTGATCCTCCCCCTGCAAAAACAAAACCAAACCCTAACATCAACCACCTCCCAACCCCAATCCCAAACAAGCAAAAACAGAAAACAAATCAAAGACTTAAGGATTTATGAACCCGGGGAGAACACAGCCCTTCTGGGCTGAGCTGCAAAGATGACCCTGCCTCCATGCCTGGTTCAACAAGACGATGCCCCTGGGAACGGGAGGTGATGCCTTCTCACTCCGGCCCTAGTACAGAGTCTGCTCTTGAAGCTGGATTCCATCAGCAGGTGGGTGGATATGACAAATGCCAGTTTCCTCTGTTCATTATACATAATTTTATGTATATATATATGTATATATATATAAATTTACTACATCTGATTGTTCCTTTAGAAGCCTTTTATGTGGCAGTAGGCCTCCAGGGAGGAGAAGAAAATGTACAAGAGCCACAGGAGAACAAAGAGGCAGGATGTGAGGAGCTTGGCAGTCCGGGGCCCACCCAGCTCACCTCCAATTTCTGGCCTCCGCCGGTACAGCAGCACCCCCACATTGATGAAAGCAAAAATGGTGAAGAGAGTGACAGAAAAAGCTAGCGTGCCAGGGGACACTTTGAACTGTTCCCCGTTGGCCGCGTGGTAGATGGCAGCGATGGACCAGGCCACACCGATGCCCAGGAAGACGTTCACCGCGTTGCTGCCTGTGACGTTACCTATGGATGCATCCGCATACTGGTCCTGGGTGGCTGCCACTTTGCTTGCAAACGTGTCTGAGGAGGAAGAAGAAAAAGACAATGAACAATCAGCCACTTACAGAGGTCTGTGGAGTGCCAGAAGCTTCAGCAGGGTACTCAGGAATCAAGCCTTCAGTGGAAACCCCAAGACCTGGACAGAGCTTTGTCCTCTCAAGTCCCATCTGTGTATCCCTACGTAACAGGACTCGAGGGCTTGGTGGTGGGTGAGTTTTAGGTGACTTTGGTCAAGCTCTTTTTTCCCACAGATACCACAGTTCTTTGTTGATGGTAACAATTCTATGAGGGCAGTAAACTTTAGAGGTGAGGATACTGGGCTCAGAGAGGATAAGTAAATGGGTGCAAAATCACACAGCAAGGGAGAAGCCACATTAAGGCCTGGCCTGGGCCTTCTGCCTTCAGGCAAATGCTTATTCACTGTATTATTTCACCTTTCCTTATGCCTGGCATCCTAATGGGCGGCCTCAAAGCTCTGTTCACCAATAATCCTGAGTGCATCTTTTCTCTGAGGCTAGGGAATTTACACATTTCCTTTCTCTACAAGGAGCAGGACAAAACTGACTTAGACTTGGTGAACAGAGCACAAGGGTTTAGTGCTCTTTTAAGCCAGAGGGTTTCCAATTCTTCCTTTGGCAGTGAGTATGTGACCCCAGGCAGTTACTTAATTTTTAGAGATTCAATTGCCTTCTGTGAAATGAGGATAGTAATGCTCACTTCAGAGTGCTTTTGTTAAATTGAGCTATTAAATGTAAAATGCTTATGTTTCTGGTACAAAGCAAGGGTAGCTATTTTTGTTGTTTTGGGAAGACAACATGAATGGAGCTGCCCAGGTCTGTTTATTAAAAGGTGAGGTGAGGACGGATCTCAAATAGCTCCCTTTATTAATAATGTAACAGGACCTGTAAGATATTCAACTTCCTTTTTATATGATCACCGAGTTACTGATATCAAAGTCCTTTCAGCTACCTCTGCAAGATATGTTGCACAGTCAGTTTGGAATAAATATTAATAACTGTCAGATTGCACACACATTTGCAAAGCCAGCAGTGGCAGGTATGCTACTGCTCCAAGGTACCATGGTCTAAGCATGTGTGTAGAGAGACGTGTGATATCTGGATGGCTTTCTCCACTCTGTTGCCACCTCCAACAGCGTGTGTGCTAAGTCGCTCAGTCATGTCCCATTCTTTGCGACCCTATGGACTGTAGCCCGCCAGGCTCCTCTGACCATGGGATTCTCCAGACAAGAATACTGGAGTGGGCTGCCAGACCATCCTCCAGCAGATCTTCCCAACCCAGGGATCAAACCCACGTCTCTTACATCTCCTGCAATGGCAGGAGGGTCCTTTACCACTAGTGCCACCTGCGAAGCCCAAGCTCCAATGGGGATGATACATAAAGCACGTTTGCTTACATAAGCCTGTAGATTCTTTTGCTTTACCACGGGACAGAGGTTATTTAGGCTTCTCAGAGGCTACTGAATCTGCAGTGTCACTTTCTTTCTGAAAGGGAAGTGGTTAACCTTGATGGTCTGTGGGATGGACCCACAGATAGGGTCTGACCTATGTTTTATAAAGAGGCAAACTTCTTACTCTGTACTACCCATATTACATAGATATGTTTTTAGTTTTTAACTGGAGGATAATTGCTTTACAATGTTGTGCTGGTTTCTGCCATATAACAATGTGAATCAGCCACAGTTACATGGATATTTTCACTGAACCCTCAATCTAACCTTTTGTGGAGTAGATGTTATTCTTCCATTTTTACAATCTGGGCAACAGTGATGTTGTGATCGTCTGCCTATGGGACAGGGTGTCTGTCAATAGAGCAAGGATTCTGAAACCAAATCTGTTTGACTTCAGAGCCCATTCTCAGCCTACACCTCACTTCCTCTCCTAGGAGGGCTCACATTTTCCTCTCCTCAGTCCCTTTCAGGCTGCCCCGTTCCTTCCACTCAGAAAACCTGGGACAGGTTTCTGCAGAGTGCCCCTTCCTGTACTGGTGAGAACTAAGAAGGAGGTGCAGGCAGCTGGCGACCCTGTCCTGCGGGACCGGTGCTACATGTTACACTTGAGATCACACACTGCAGCCTGATCAGGATCACCATGGAGGCGGGCGAGCAAAAGCCAAGTGAGACAAATCTTCGTCTCTTGCAGTTCATTATTAAGAGTTATTAGGAACTGCCGCAGCAGCAGCCTCAAAAAAAAAAAAAAAGTCACTTGGCTTTTAATTTTCAAGGACAGACAGCTGAACAAGGAATGTAAATGAACAGAGTCCAAGGTGGGAGGCAGTCACAGTTCAGCTACTGCTGAGGAGCACGTGAGATGGTATTCTGTGCTGACATGCCTGCTGGCGGCAGCTAGTGATTCGGGGCCTTCCCTCTCCCCCCACCGCCACGCTGTAGGGATGCGGATCTAGTATCCTAGGCCTGCTTACCTCCCTTGGCACATAGTATGCGGCACTCCAGGCTTCCTGGGTGCCCCATCTCCACTCAAACCCTGACCTTTCTGGACGGCATCTCTGCTGCTGTGCCAGAAGTGAATGAGGCACAAAAATCAAAGATTTTACTGGGCCCTCCTGGGTCTGCAGGGATTTCTTCTCACTCAAGTCATTTTTTTCCAATAGCCCATTAATGTGAATAGTGCAGGAGAGTCCTAATAATAATACGTTCCTATTTATAAATGCCTCTGAAAGTTAGCAACCCAAGTGATTAGCTTATCACATAAAAAACATGTTTGGGCCTCTGAGCCAGGTAGGTTTTACTTACTTGATTTTTAAATCAGATTTTTGTTTTGCAATTCAAAAGCTGTATAGGAAAATTGTAGAAACACATGTAAATCCAGACTATTAGCTTGAACTTCAACAGAGACAACTCTGTTTTCCAAATGAAGTGTGATGGAATCTCCCCAAACCACTTTCTCTGACCACTGCTTAGCGTACAGAGTGGCAGATCACAGACTGTAGATGAGGTCCTGCCAAGCCTGGCCCTGAATGCCAAGCCCAAGACCTGTTTGTGGCTGAACAAGGCAAAATCCATGCAAATGCCATTCCCCGGGGTGACATCCAAACAAGAACTGTTGCCACAGTACAGGCATATTCAGAACTTAGACTGTTAAATACATACCTATATGAGTCAGATATCCATTGTGATTGCTACAAACTAAGTAATTATTGATAATTATATATGTGTTTATAACTATACCTACATAATAGAAATTTTTATTTCTAATTCTCACCTTGAATTCTAATACATTTAAAGTTAATTGTAGAGTTTTAGACTCTTGATCCTGCCTCCTCGGTCCCTGTAACTGTGAATCACTAACAGGAAAGATATGTTTGGGAGGCAGTGTGGCTGGAATTAAACCACACATTACAGAGTCAGGACATGCTTGTTCTCTGCATCTGGTCTTTGCCAAATCACTTGGTCAATATGCAGGACTATGTCAACACACTCCCCTTTCCTCCAGAAATGATTTTTTAAACTGAATTTCTCAAACTTTATCGCTACCTACGACTAAGTCTTAAATATTTCTGCTGTAAAAGGGATAGTTCTTACAACCCTGCAGGTCACAGGAAAGGTTTCTGTGTTTTGACTAGCTCCACCCAGAAATGATTAATCTTTGCCTTGACTCTTAGCATATGCTGGGGGCCAGCTGTTCAACTCTCAAGTGGTCTGTGCTCAGGAACTGATGCTGACAGTAATTTTGACTAAAGTCCAGCCTGCTTATGGAGGCAGGGTTGCTGTCTCCCAGCACCTGTGAATTATTGACAACATGAGGAGCTCAGAGCTTCCTCGTAGTAGTGACAGAAGTCTCATCAAGGGGACATTCTGGGCTCTTCTATCTGTGTGCACTCACAGATTCTGGTTTCCTAACTTTACTGTTGGGTGGTACATAGAATATATCACAATATTAAATTCAGATAAATGATTTTGGTGGGATTTTTCTTTTTTGCAGGCGTCTATACATGTCTACCCTTAAACTTGACTAATGATGACAATATCTCCTTTTAAAAGAATAAATGACCTAGATGAAATATTCAAAGTGATATCTAGACCTGAAGATTTTGCCAGTGATGAAAATGTGCCAGTATCTGTGAAGTTAAACCACACAGCACAGAGTCATTGAGCTCTTAAAAATAGGTAAGAAATGTTGGCACGGTTATTGACTTCAAATCATGTAAGTGACTATTTATATGAGCGCTGCCATGGAATAACTGGTGGCAGGGAGGACTGTTTCAGATACTGTGCATAATGTCAATCAAGTGTGTACTGAAAATACTGGGAGTTCCTTGTTTTGGTTTTTGAAAGATTTGGGGCTCTACCCTCCGCCTAATTAATCAGACTCTCTGAGAAAAAGACACAGGAATATGCATTTTTATAAATGCTTGGGCAGCTTGGCCATGAAGTCCCCCACCCTCTAGCTGTGCTCTTTTTTAAAAAACCCAATTCAAGCATGGTAACTATGAAAGGCCAAGGAATGAGGGAAATTTATTTAAAAGTAGTTGAATTCTGACTGTTTCACTTGCCAGGTAAGAAATGTACCTACTTTATATGGTTTTGAGGGAAATGAGTTAACAAGAACAAGACCTAGTACTTAATGAGTGCTCAATATTAGTAATTATTTTTATAATACAACAGAGCCAGATCCCAAGAGAATCCATAAGTGGTCCAGAATTCTGAGTTACTGTAATGATTCTAAACTTCTGGGGAGTTATAACACCCCTTAAAGGCATATTAACTTTACGGTCCTAGGTATTTAAAAATGTGGTAGAACATAAAATTATTCTTAAAATCAGAGATTTTTTATTTGAAAATTCTATATAACCTAAGTCATAAAAGGGCTGCCTTTGTGGTTCAGGTGGTAAAGAATCCCCCTGCAATGCAGGAGACCCAGGTTCGATCCCTTAGTAAAGAAGAATCCCTGGTGAAAGGAATGACAATCCACTCCAGTATTCTTGCCTGGAGAATTCCATGGACAGAGAAGCCTGGAGGGCTCTAGTCCATAGGATTGCAAAGAATCAGACTTGACTGAGTGACTTTCACTTTCTAAGTCATAAAAAGACACCAGAGATCTGGTTTATGGTCCTAATTTTACTAATGACTGAAAGACATCCTTGCCTAAAAAACACACATATTCCTCTCTATTCTTTCCTCTCTTCTATGTACTTTTTGTTTCACTCTTTGAGAATTCAAATGGAAATTTTACTTATGTACTAATTTCTCTGTCACTAAGGACTTTAAACAAGATTTTGTCTTGTAATATTTATTTACCTCAGTAAATATGAAACCCAAACTTCTTACTTACACAAACTCACCTCACTGGCTCATATGAAAAGAAACCTTGTTTGGCATACAAGTGAAGTTTAAGAGATCAGGGAATTACTGATGTTTGATTGATTAATGACTAGTTAGAGGAGTTATAAAAACTGAAAAAGGGAAACATACTTAAAATGTCTACCCATAAAAATTTGTCCCTTAAAAAGAAATGGAGACAATGACACTGACCTACTCTTAGAAGAGAAGAAAAGAGGTAAGTCAAAAGCTCAAGAGGATTCATGCTGGCAGGTCAGAACACCTGCTTCTACTCATTTTTATCACCAGGGTAGCTTCGGAAAAATACCAGATTGCGAGCTCTGCTCTGGGTTTCTGTTTCCTTGGTCTAGAATGCAGCCTGAGCACTGACATTCATTAAAGCTCTCCAACCAGACTGAGACCCAGTAACCAACTACACAGAGCCTTCGATTCACCCTATGTGTAAGGACAGTGGTACCTTCCCTGTATTAGTCGAGAAAACACATGAATAGCTCTAACATATAGGTCAACAAAATCGACATTGTGGGGATTCAGGATGGAGACAAGATGGCGGAGGAAGAAGGATGTGAGCTCACCTCTTCTTAGGAAAACACCAAAATCACAACTAACTGCTGAACAACTATCAACAAAAAAATGCTGCACCCTAACAAAAAAGATACCCTACGTCCAAAGACAAAGAAGGAAGTCCATTATTATGATGGTAGGAGGGCACGGTTGTGATAAAATCAAGTCCCATGCCCACTGTAGGGGATGGGGGGGGTGCGAGCCAAAGACTGGAAAATGATTATATCACAGAAGTTCTCCCACAGGAGTGAAAGTTCGGAGTCCCACATCAGGCCTCCCAGACTGATGGTCTCACAACAGGGGTGGAGCCTCCAGAAAGTCTGGCTTCGAAGGCCAGCAGTGTTTGATCTCAGGACTTCCACAAGACTGGGGGAAGAAGAAACTCTGCTCTTGGAGGGTGCACACAAGGTCTATGTGCACCAGGAACCAGTGAAAAAAGCAGTGATTTCGTAAGAGCCTGGGCCAGACCTACCTGCTAGTACTGGAGGCTCTCCTCCAGTGGAGGAAGAGGCAGCTTGGCCCCCTAGGGAACAAAGACGCCGGCAGTAGCAGTTCTGGGGAGTGCTCACTGGCGTGAGCCCTTGGGACAGACCATCATCTCACCAAGACCTGGCCCCACTCAACAGGATCCCCTTCTAGGACACCTCAGGCCAAATACCCAACATGGTAGGCACACACTCCTGCTCAGCAGCAGATAGCATGCCTAAAGTCTTCCTGAGCATATAGCTGCCTGCTAAACCCCTTGACATGGTCCTGGCCACCAGACAGACAAAACTCAGTTATACCCAGCTTGGGGGGAGGCAAAATCACTCAAATCACTGAATGATATAACCTAAATGAGATAAAAGATAATATACAATATAGAAATATTATTTACGCCTAGCACACAGGGGAACTACATGATAAACTAAAAAAAAAAAAAAATTCCCTTTCTGGTCAGAAAAGTTTCCATTCTCATTTTCTGATGGTTTCTATTCCTTTTGACATTTTGCGAGTTGATTTCAGTGTAAATAATAATTTCCTGCATCTTATACCAACTTTCAGTTTACAAAGTGCTCTGAAATCCATATTACTTAATCCTCTTATCAGCTCCCTAAATTGTCATGATTATGCCTATTTTACAGGCAAGAAAAGCATGGCTAAGTCAAGAAGTTGATTCCAGCAAAAACATGAATAATGGTTAGAAGTTCTATTTCCTGAATTCAGTTCTAAAGTTCTTGTTTCTAAAGAAGAGTCTCAAATCTACCCTTAAACCTAAAGCAACTAGAGAAAGAAGGACAAACAAAAGCCAAAGTTAGTAGAAGGAAAGAAATCATAAAGATCAGAGCAGAAATAAAGACTAACAATAGCAAAGATCACAGAAACTAAAAGCTGGTCCTCTAAGAAGATGAACAAAATTGATAAACCTTTTAGCCAAAATCATCAAGAAAAAAGGGAGAGGGCTCAAGTCAATAAAATTAGAAATGAAAAAGAAGTTACAGTGGAAGCCACATCAATACAAAGGATCATGTGACTATTACAAGCAACAATACACCAATAAATTGGACAACCTAGAAGAAATGAAAAAATTCTTAGGTACAATCTCCCAAGACTGAGCCAGGAAGAAGTAGAAAATATGAACAGACTAATTATAAGCACTAAAATTGAATCTGTAATTAAAAAATTCCCAACAAACAAAAGTCCAGGACCAGATGTCTTCACAGGCAAATTCTATCAAATATTTAGAGCAGAGTTAACACATAACCTTTGATACCCTTCCAAAAAATTGCAGAGGAAGGAGCACTTCCAAACTCATTCTCTGATGTCACCATCACTCTGATACTGAAACCAGATGAAGATACCACACACACAAAAAAATTCAGGCCAATATCACTGATGAACATAGATACAAAAAATCCTAAACAAAATACTAGCAAATCAAACCCAACAAAACATTAATCATATTAATCCAACAAAACATTAATTTGATCATATACCATGATCAAATGGGATTTATCCCAGAGATGCAAAGATTTTTTCAATATCCACAAATTAATTAGTGTGAACTACCCCATCAACAAATTGAAATATAAAAACCATATGGTCATATCAATAGATACAGAAAAAGCTTTTGACAAAATCCAACACTCATTTGTGATAAAAACTTTCCAGAAATTGGGCACAGAAGGAATGTACTTCAACATAATAAAGGTCATATATGACAAACATACAACTAATATCATAATGGTAAAAAGCTGAAAGCATTTCGTCTAAGATTAGAGACAAGATCAGGATGTGCACTCTTGCAGTTTTACTCAACATAGTTTTGGAAGTCCTAGCCATGGCAATCAGAGAAGAAAAATAAAAAGAATCCAAATTAGAAAAGAAGGAAGACCTTCACTGTTGGCAGATGAAATGATACTATGCATAGAAAATCCTAAAGATGCCACCAGGAAACTACTGGAGCTCATCAATAAATAGGTGAAGTTGGAGGATACACAATTAAAGTACAGAAATCTCTAGCATTCCTATACACTAACAATGAAAGATCAGAAAAGGAAATTAAACAGTCCCATTTACCATAACATCAAAAAGAATAAAATGTCTAGAAATAAGCCTACCTAAGGATGCAAAATTCTTGTACTCCAAAAACTATAAGATGCTGATGAAAGAAATTGAAGATGACACAGATGGAAAGATATACCATGTTCTTGTATTAGAAGAATGAATATTGTGAAAATGACTATGTTACCCAAGGTAATCTACATAGTCAATGAAATCCCTATCAAATTACCAATAGCACTTATTTTCATGGAACTAGAACAAAAAGTCTTAAAATCTGATGGGGACACAAAAGACCCTAAAACCAAAGCAATCTTAAGAAAAATGGAGTTGGAGGAATCAATTCCCTGACTTCAGACTACACTACAAATCTACAGTAATCAATACAGTATAGTACTAGCACAAAAAAAAAAAGTATAGAAAGCCCAGAAATAAACCCATGCAACTGTGGTCAATTAATCTATGTCAAAGGAGATAAGATTATACAATGTAGACAGACAGTCTCTTCAATAAATGACGCTGAGAAAACTGGACAGCCACATGTACAAAACTGAAATTAGATCATTCTTTAGCACTATATACAAAAATAAACTCAAAATGAATTAAAGATCTAAATGTAAGATTGGATGCTATAAAACTTCTAGACGAAAACATAAGAGAAACACTCTTTGACATAAATCACAGCAATATTTCTTCAAACTATCTCCCAGAATAATGGAAACAAAAACAGAAATAAATGGGACCTAATTCAATTTAAAAGCTTTTGCACAGTCATGATAACCGTAAGCAAAATGAAAAGCCCACATAATGGAAGAAAATATTTGCAAATGATGTAACTGACATGGGATTAATATTGAAAATTTATAAACAGCTCATGCAGCTCAATATAAAAAAAAAAAAACCCAAACAACCCAATCAAAGAATGGGCAGAAGATCTAAGTAGACATTTATACAAAGAAGATATACAGATGGCTAAGAGGCACATGAAAAGATCCTCAACATGTCTGATTATTAGAGAAATGCAAATCAAAAGCACATTGAGATATCACTTTACACCAGACAGAACGGTCATCATCAAAACGTCTACAAACCAAAAAATGCTGGCAAGAGTTTGTAGAAAAGGGAACCCTTCCACCCTATTGGTGGGAATGTAAATTGGTAAGCCACTATGGAGAAACATATGGAGATTCCTTAAAAAACTAAATATAGAGCTACCAAATGATCTAGCAATCCCACCCCTGGGCATATATGCAGAGAAAGCCATGGTTCAAAAGGATACATGCACCCCAGTGTACACTGCAGCACTATTTACAACAGCCAAGAAATGGAAGCAAACTAAATGTCCATTGATGGAGGAACAGATAAAGAAGATGTAGCATATACATACAATGGAATATTACTCAGCCACTAAAAGGATGACATAATGCCACTTGCAGCAACATGGATGGACCTGGAGATTATCGTACTAAATGAAGTCAGTCAGAGATAGACAAATATCATACATATTGCTTGATTTCAGAATCTAAAAAAAAAAAAAGATACAAATGAACTTATTTACAAAACAGAAAACACACTTATGGTTACCAAAGGGGAAGGGTGGCAGGGAGGGATACATCGGCAGTTTGGGACTAGATACACAATGCTAGATAACCAACAAGGACCTACTATATAGCATATGGAACTTGGCTCAATATTCTGTAATAACCTAAATGGGAAAAGAATTTGAAAAAGAATAGGTAAATACATAAGTGAATCCCTTTGCTGTACACCTGAAACACTGTTAATCAACTATACTCCAATATAAAATAAAAATTTTAAAAATCAACATTCTGTTATTGAATAAATTACTTTTCACTTTGATATTGTTAACTTGAACGTTTGCACTTTGCAGGGTTACCCCTGGAACTTAGTCTTCCTATGATGTATCTGAAATCCTGGTATGTTTCAAGTTCAAAGAAAGATTAATTCCAATTAAAACAGAAAAATAAGGTGTTTATTCTTCAGGGAACACAAAGCAGAGAAGAGAATGAACAACCAGAAGTACTATTCGATTTCTTTTCCAAACTGTAAGTTGCTACATGTTCTCAAAAGGAAATGGTAAACACTCCACTCAAACATACTGGAACATACAGTTCCATAATAGCATTATTTTTCAGAACAATGTTCATGAATGTTCAAGAGTGGGTTCAAGGTTCCCCTTCCTTCTCCAAGCTCCTAGCTTCATGGCATTTGTTAAAATTTTCTAAAGTCTCTGATTCTAATTCTTGATGTTAATAGAAGCATTTTGAACCTTCCAAAGAATTCTGGTGGTTTACCTGAGATGGGGCTCTTGAATTTCTCAGTCACTTGCTGACCCTCTTGCTCTCAGTCCTGAGAAGAACCCTGAACCAACTAGCTGGTTGTAGAGCAAAGAAGTTCTGTTCCAACCTGGCTGTCTCTTGAGACCTGCATTAATATGGTTCTGGAGTGGATCAGATTATGTATGCTGGGTACCCTGAGAGTTCTGCTTGTTTGCTTACCCAGATTAAAAGGCTGATGCAGATTATAGTGGTGGACATTCCAATGTGTGCCTGATCAAGTAAGGGGTTACAAGGCTGATTGGCTTAAAGGAAATCTCCTTGCTCTGGTCAACCAGCAACTGGATGATGAACATTATATCTGACAGTTTCCAGTTGGTGCACATGAGATAATGGTTCCACTTAGCATGGAGATATTTAGTAAGCTGAGGCCACTGTGAGTGGCCAATTTGGTCACCTGAGTCTGTGTTACTCTGGATAATGACTATTGCTACTGAAGAATACCAGTCCTAGTAACTCTGGTCAGCATAATATATCTAATTATGGTAGTAAGGAGCCTAAACTTAAATAAGTGAAAGTGCTAGTCATGTCTGAGTCTTTGTGACCCTGTGGACTGTAGCCCACCAGGCTCTTGTGTCCATGGAATTCTCCAGGCAAGAATACTGGAGTGGGTTTCCATTCCCTTCTCCAGGAGATCTTCCTGAGCCAGGGATTAAACCCCTGTCTCCCCCATCTCAGGCAGATTCTTTACCATTTGAGGCACCAGGAAAACCCCAAACTTAAGTAAGACCTGCTTACTTTACTTACTCTACTTCCATTTGCCATGCACTGGCCATGTGACCTCAGCACAACTTCTCTAAGCCTCTAAAACCTCACCTGTAAAAATGGGAAAATACAAGTCCTCACTTTATATGGCTGATAAGATGAACAAAAGAAGTGATGCGAAAAGGCTTAATGTGGTGTCTAGAAATTGGTAGGTATAACAAATGCTGTGTTATTATATTTTGAAATCTTNAAAAAAAAAAAAAAAGAAATCTTTGTTCTGGTGATAACAAAGGATATATTGATGATATTAAAATCTTTTATTATGGTTTCCTTCAGCAAGGTGATTTATGGTTAATAGACCTTATGTAGGATTATAGGAAAATGTGGTTCTGTCCTTGATGTTCAGAAGTGATAGAAGAGATAAGGACAACAATAGTTAACATTTATGTGGCTCCCTAGGTGAGGCACTACACATACATAGATCCTCATTTAATCCACAGACAACCCTTTAATGTGGGTACTATTATTATCCCCATTTAACAGATGAGAAAACTGAAGCCCAGAGTAGAAGAAATTTGACCAAAGTTACATAGCCAATAACAAGAGGTGAAGCTAGGATTCAGACCAAAGAGGTGTGACTCTAGCTGGTTCTTAACCACAAGTTCGGGGGGGAGGGGGTGGGTTGATAAGGACTAGACAACTGATATACTTTAAACTTGAACATGGACAAAGAGTTCAAATAAAATGTACAGAAACAATTATGTTCAACTATGATTGTAACTACATAATGTTAAAACAGCTGATCATTTTGAGAGGTCAATGACTGATAAAACATTTTTTTTAACTCCTTATATTCCTGGCTTCTCCCAGCATTACATTTACACTGTCTACAAAAGTACATAAAAATGGGTTTGAATGAATCTATGTTAAATAATTAAAATTTTTTGATATTTTGAGTCGTAATTCTCTTACTCACATAATAAGCCTTTAGTGACACCATGTCCTTGAGAGGGTAAAAAAAATGGTAAGATTTAGTGAAGTAACATTTTTCCAAAGAAAAAAGGGCAGATCTGGGACTAAAACAAAAAAGCTGAATAAACTGTCACTTTCCTAAGCCATGTTAGTTTGTTAAGAGAAAGATATACCTTAAACACCCTTGCCTCAAAAACAGTTCCGAACTGCCCTGCACAAAATAGTGTCCCCCACTTTGCTTCTCCCTCTCAACCTTCCTTGCATTTGAAACCTGGTTCTTTCTTCTGTGCTTTGTTCTATTTTGGGAACATCCATCTCTTGTTGAGTCTTCTCAAATCCTCTCCCTCCTCTTCTCAAGTCCTACTTTAGAGATGGTAAAGCTCAAGGTCCCCCAAGTATCACTAGAGCTAGATATAGCTGAGAAGTATCTAAAAAAAAAACAAAACAAAAAACCTGGGAAAAGATGAAAACAGAAATCCTTGCTCTCACCTCCAGGTAGCCTTAATGAGTCATAAAAGAAACTCCCTGTTAGGTGGCTACTGGTGTGATTCTAAGTCTGTGGCTCTAGACAATACACTGACGGCAGCAACCTGTGTCTTTACCCTGTGGGTGTCTACCGAGCTATTTATTCCACAGAGAAATTCTCTTTTTGAAGAGGTTGCTTTGTGTATTATAAGCTCAGGAGAACACAAAAAACTATTCAAAGTAGGCAAATGGAAAGTGAAAGTCACTTAGTCGTGTCTGACTCTTTGCGACCCCATGGACTACACAGTCCATGGAATTCTCTAGGCCAGAATACTGGAGTGGGTAATGGATCCCTTCTCCAGGGGATCTTCCCAACCCAGGCAAAGGGAGGCAACTCAATAAGCAATAAAGGTCAGTGCACACAACTTCAACCCAGCCCTGGAGGCAGCAGGTGAGACCTAAGGGGGTTCTAAAAAGCTCTGATAATTGTCCCAGTTCTGATTCCTCTTGCCTTGACTTGGTGTAAAATTTCCCTCAGTAACTCATTCCTGTGAATCACATAGTACAAAATGGCATGTGTCAATCAAAAGTTAAAAATCCATAAAATCTTTGTTCAAGTGATTCTACTTCTGGGAATTTGGAACTGACTTTACAAATGTGAAAGTTTACTTATGGGGATATTTGTAGCAGAGATTTTATGTTAGAGAAAAATTAGAAACAACTGAATTGCCTGCAGTTTCAATAAAATAAATTGCAATTTCATATAACATAATATTGTGTAATTGTTAAAATTATGATGTAATGATACACTAACAAAAATTTTTGTGATGCACCACTAAGAGAAAAAGGTTATGTAACAATGTCTAGTATGAGTCCATTAAAAAGTGGTGGGTAAATATTTGTCTTTGTATATACATTTTTGTGGAATTTATTAACATATCCTATAATTTTAAATTTTGAAACCTAGGAGATCAAAATGGAATAAGAGGACACGGAACTCATTTTCCCTGAATGAATAATTCTCACTTAAAATGAACTGGAAACTGGCAGAAGAGCCTCTTTACAACCAAGGCTGTAAGAAAGACATATACATACTCTGGTAGGGAGAGAAGAAAAGTGACTGGTTCTAGACCTGGGCCCTTAGAAGGGGACTGAGAGGAAAAGGGAGATGACAAGAGTGAAGGGACCTGTGGAGTGAGTGGGTCAAGACACAGACTGGGCATCCCAGATTCTGGGGATCTATGCGGAGGAGAGAGGCCCCTTTGCCTGGCTGGAGGAACTGGGTCAGATGGAAAGGCTGGAGAAGCCTGGACACTGCACATGTGCTGACTAGCTCTGGAAGTAGGGCAGAGAGAGGCCTCCCCTGGAGGCTACTAGGTTGCCAATGACTGCCTCATTCCACTTCCCAGTCTGAACTGAGCAAATGATCTGGCCCTGCTCACTTCACACCACAGTGCAGTACTGGATCTGGGGCAGCCAGGAAAGGGGGGAAGACCAGACCACGGTCACAGAGGTGACCCATTCTGAGGAGGGGCCCCAGGTGGGCAGCGGCACGCCAGGAACCACCCAGATCACCGAGAGCTGCCCCTTGACCGCAGCTAACCTACCGAAACGTGCCGAGTCCATGCAGGTCCTTGCCAGACTACAGGAGTAGTTCTACAATAGGGGTGGAGGTGTGGAGGCAGGCGGCAGGGATCGACCGTGGGAAACAAAGGGGATTCACACCCAAGGCTGCATCTGAGTGAAGCAGCAGATGCCCACGCAGGCTGTGCATTGGACCTCTGTCTACATACAGGCCCCACATGCTTCAGCACAGCCCTCTGGGGCAATGGTCCTGGGACAGAGAGAGGGAGAAACAGATACTTAAAGGGAAAGGAGTCAGCCTGAGCCTGACCCCCGGGGCTTCTTCTCTAGCAATTTGGTTGCTAGACCTGACCCTGACATTGACCCTAACCAGGCAGTGGTGGCCACTGAGCAGACGGGAAGTCCTGCTTCACTTCTGACACCAGCTCAGCCCTCCACCCCATCTCCAGCCTGACTGCCTACCTAGGTGATGCCGCACACCCTGAGGAAACATGAGACAAGTATATACAAAAAATCCAGTCCTCCCACCAAAGGCATTAGGTACATGCAGTCTGTATAGGGATCCTCCCACATAACAACACCACTTCAAGGCCACAATAACTGTTTAAATTCACAGAGGCAGAGAAAGGTAAGCAAAGTGAAGGGTGGAACTACTCAAAATTGAAAGAGTAAGAGAAAACCTCTGAAAAAATAATAAAACAGGAATAAACAATTTACCAACTAAAGAATGCAAAACACTGGTAATAAATTGAACTAGACACAGCTATGTCAAAAATCGTTGATAAAATTATTAACTGAACTAAGGAAAATAACTGATCGAAATACTTTTCTAGCAAGGAACTATCAAATATAAATGAGACCCCTTCAGAAATGAATAATAGCTGAAATAAATAAACCAGAAACATGAATAACATACTAAGTGATACAGAAGAATATGCAAGTGACCTAAAAGATAGAATTATGGAAATCACACAATCAGGATAGCAGAAAGAAAATTTTTTAAAAATGAAAGCAACTTGATATCTGGAATAATAGTAAGGGTTCTGATATTTTCATTATATGAATTCCAAAAGGAGAAGAGAGAAGGGGATTGAAAATGTATTTGAGGAAATTATGGCTGAGAACCTCCCAAACCTGAAGAAGAAATTAGATACAGGTACAGAATGCACAGAGGATTCCAAACTGCTTCACACTAAGACATATCGTAATTAAAATGGCAAAAATTAGAGAATTCTAAAGATAGCAAAAGAGTCATATACAAGGGAATTCCCCATAAGGCTATCAACTGACTGGTCTGCAGAAATTTTGCAGGCCAGAAGATAGTGGCATGATATATTCAAACTGCTGAAAGGGAAAAACCTGCAACCTAGAATATTCTATCCAGCAAGATTATAATTTAGACTAGAAAGAGAGATAAAGAACTTCCCAGACAAGCAGACAATTCATCAATAGTAAACATACCATAAAAGAAATGCTGAAGGATCTTCTCTAAATAGAAAAGAAGTAAGAAGCTATAGGAAAGGGAAAATCCCACTAGGAAAGGCAAATATAAGTAAGATATGAGGATCAACCACTTAAATAAATCAGGACCTAGATTAAAAGTTAAAAAATTGTAAAAGCAACTATGACTACAATAAACAGTTAAGTGATAAGCATAAAGATGTAAACTATGATAATAAAAATAAAATGTGGGAGGAGGGAAGCAGAAAATGTAGATCTCTTGGAATGTGTTTGGACTTAAATGACTACAAGTTTAAAACAAGTAAATGTAATTACAGGTCCAACATATATGAACCACATATAACCACAAGTCAAAAACCTACAAGAGATATACCAAAAACCAAAAAGAAAGGAACACAAACACAATAAAAAAAAGTCAACCAGAAGAAAACAAAAGAACAGAGAATAACTATAAAAGCAACCAGAAAACAACTATTAAAATGTTAGTAAATACATACTTATAAATGATTACTTTAAAAGTTAATGGATAAATTCTCCAATTAAAAGACATAGAGTGGCTGACTAGATATAAAAAAGAGACTTCCTTCTGGGCTACAGACACACAGACTGAAAATGAGCGGACAGAAAAAGTTCTATGTATTAATATATGGGTATGCATATATGTACAGCTGATTAACTTTGCTGAACACCTGAACCTAACATAACATTGTAAATCAACTATATGCCAATAAAAATTTTTTAAAAACTGATACCACAGAGATACAAAAAATAAGAGAATAGTATGAAAAGTTATATGCCAATAAACTGAACAACCTAGAAGAAATGGACAAATTTCTAGACACAGACAACTTACCAAGACTATATTAAGAAGAAACACACAATTTGAACAGACTGATCACTAGTAGTCAAACTGAATTTTTAATTAACAAAACTCCTAGGAAACAAAAGTCCAACACCAGATGACTTCACTGGGGAATTCTACCAAACATATAAAAAAGAAATAATTCTCAAACTATTCCAAAAAATTGAAGAGGAAAAAACACTTCTAAATCCATTCTATAAGGCTACCACTACCCTGATATAAACATCAGACAAAGACAATACAAAAAAAGAAAATTACAGGCCAATATCTTTGATGAATATATATGCAAAAGTCAACAAAATTTTAGTAACCTGAATGCAACAATACATCAAGAGAATGATACATCCTGATCAAGTTGGATTTATTCTAGTGGAATAAGGATGATTCACCATTAGTAAATCAATCAATGTGACATACCACATTAATAAAAAGAAGGATAAGAATCATGATTATCTCAATAGATGCCACAAATGCACTTGACAGAATATAACACCCATTTATGATGAAAAACTCTAATCAAAGTTGGTATAGAGAACATTTCTCAACATAATAGGGCTTCCCTGGTAGCTCAGATGGTAAAGAATCTGTCTGCAATGCAGGAGACCCAGGTTCAATCCCTGAGTTAGGAAGGTTCCCTGGAGAAGGGAACCACTACCCACTGTCACTACCCAGTATTCTTGCCTGGAGAATTCCATGCACAGAGGAGCCAGGTGGGCTGCAGCCCACGGGGTTGCAAAAGAGTTGGACACAGAACACCTAGAAATCCCTCTGCAGCCACCCGTCCCCCAGTGGGCACTGCAGCTGGGGTCTGCAGGAGGAACTCTGTCCTTCATCTCTGTCTCCCAAAGTATGTGTCCCTCTCCTGCAGGGCTGGGGGATGAACTAAGACTCCCTCCACTTTCTTGTAGGGGCGAGGTGGTGTGTCCCCTTCCTGTGCAGCCTTTGGACAGAGCCCTGCCTCCCCATCCCTGTAATCAGATAGTACTTCTTCCCCACTAAGATGCTGCAACAACCTGAATTTCATGGTTTCCACCCTGAACAAGGCAACTTTTCTTATTTCCTTATTTCCATGGGGTCCCACAGAGTTGGACATGACGGTGCGACTGATGCTTTCACTTCACTTTCTCAACATTCTCATTTATGACAGACCCATACCTAGCATCATACTCATCAATGAAAACCTGAAAGCCTATCCTTAAATTCAGGAAAAAGACAAGGATGCTCACTCTCATCACATCTATTTAACACAGTATGCAAAGTCCTAGCCACAGCAATGAGACAAAAAGAAATAAGAAGCATCCAAATTGGAAGGAAAGAAATAAAACTATAACTATTTGCAAATGACATGATTTTTTATATAGAAAATGCTAAACTCTCTACTCCAAACCTATTGGGTTCAGTAAATGAATTCAGCAAAGTTGCAGGATTCAAGATTAACATATAGAAATCTGTTGCTTTTCTGTACACTAATAATGAACTATCAGAAAGAGAAAATTAAAAAAAAAAATCCTGTTTAAAATTGCATCAAAAATAATAAAATACCTAGGATAAACTTCACCAAAGAGGTGAAAGACCTATGCTCTGGAAACTATAAAACACTGATGAAGGAAACTGAAGATACAAAGAAATGGAAAGATACCCTGTGTTCTTGGACTGTAAGAATATTTTTTTTAAATGGCCATACTCAAAGCAATCTACAGATTTAATGTAATCTGTTATCAAAATATCTATGACATTTTTCATGGAACTAGGACAAATCATCCTAAAATTCACATGGTTCCACTATAGACCATGAATTGCCAAGACAATTTGAGAAAAAAGAACAAAGCTGAAGACATCATGCTTCAGGACTCACACTATATTACAAAGCCAAAGTAATCAAAACAGCACGGTACAGGCACCAAAACATACACATGGATCAATAGAACAGACAGCGCAGAAATAAACCCATGCACCTGTGGTCAATTCTGGTCAATTAATCTATTAAAAAAGAGGTAAGAATATATACTATGGAAAAAGTCTCTTCAGCAAGTGACACTGGAATAACTGGACAGTTACATGTAAAAGAATGAGATAAGAATATTTCCTTATGCCATATACAAAAATAAATTCAAATGGATATACAAAGAGTGATTAAAAAAAAAAGATGTTATGATTTACATCAAAAAGTATTCTGCCTATTTTCTCTTCTGAACCTGAAACCATAAAACTTCTAGAAGAGAAAATAGGCAGAACACTGTTCATCTGAAGAAATTAAAACAAACTAATTAAAAAAGATAAAGATACATGAATCTCAATGTTCATAGTAGCACTATTTACAGTAGTGAAGACATGGAAGTAACCCAGTATCCATCAACAGATGACTGGATTAAGAAAATGGAATGTATGTACACATACATGCAATGGGATATTAACCATGAAAAAGAATGAAATTCTGCCAAGTGCAGCAACATGGATAAATGTAGAGAATATTACACCTAGTGAAGTAAGTCAGAAAAGGAAATACTGTATGGTATCACTTATACATGGAATCTAAAAAATAACACACAGAGTACGTATGCAAAACAAAAACAGATGCACAGATAAAGAAAACAAACCAGTCATTACCACTGGGGAGAGGAAAAGGCAAATTAGGGATATAGTATTAAGATACAAACTATTATGAATAAAATAGATGAGCAACAACAATATATCATATAGCATAGAAATATAGCCAATATCTTGTAATAATAAAATATAATCTGTAAAAATACTGAATCACTATGCTGTAAACCTGAAATTAATATAATATTGCAAATCATTTATACTTAAATAAAAGAGAAAATAATTGGGTAACATAATTGAATAAGATTAAAAGAAACTGAAATAAGATTACTAAAAAATGATGAAACATTCATTACTTAAAAAAAAACAAAATGAAACAAACATATACACATTTGTCTTCTTAATATTATCTTCCA